GAGAGTGCTTACGAGTATCAGAAGGAATGTTTGTTTGTGTTTGTTACTATCTCTCTCTCTCGCTCTCTCTCTCTCTCTCTCTCTCTCTGGTTTTATCTGTCGACTCTCGATATCTCTTTCTCCAGTTCAGCCTCCTCGTTCGTGGAATGTAAGATATTTCACGGGTGTCCCTATGGAGCACCACAGCGAACGACGTCCACGACCGTCCACGTCCAAGGAGGATGCAGATAATCCGAGTGTTTATCGCCCAGACTCACCAGAGAAAAGGAGCAAGTCCGAACAAATGCTCCCTCTACCGCGTTGTCGTCTCGGTGGCCATTTTTCGAAGGACACCCAGCCAGCCACTCCCGTTCTCTTGGTTACTTCGTTGCTTGCTTGCTTGCATGCCAACGACACCTTCTTTCCTGTCCTTGCCCTTTTCCCTTAAAAGCTATTACTATTATTACCATCGCTACTATTATTCGATACCTATTTCTTCTTCTTCATCTTCTTCTTCTTCTTCTTCTTCTTCTTCTTCTTCTTCTTCTTCTTCTTCTTCTTCTTCTATTATTCTTCTATTTTTCTTTCTCTCTCTCTTTCTCTCTCTCTCTCTCTTTTTTTTTCCTCATACTCCTCCTTATTTCTCTCTTCCTAGCCGGAAACGTCATGGATTATAAATTTCAGACACAACCACTAACGTTTCTTTTCCGTTCTCGCGTTCCACCCTCTCGTGTTCACTGAGGGTATAAGAAAGATAACCCTAGGTCCAGCCGACCGTTTTCTCTTCCTAGATTCTATTTTATCGTCTCCGGTTTGTCTCCAACTCCAACCCCTTTTAACGATATACTTCCTCGGATGATATAGAAACATTCAAGAATAAATGAAAGGAGGAAAAAAGAGAAATGGATAGGAATAGATTTTTTTTTTAAGAAATCGATCAAAATTTATCGTACGTTATATAAACGTTCATCTTTTTTACGTAGAAATAGAGAGACAGAGAGAGAGAGAGAGAGAGAGAGAAAGGGGGAGGGAAGAGAGAGAGAGAGAGAGCGAAAGAGGAATCGATATTTTGCGAGGGAGAGATTCGGGAAATTTGCTGGAATTGCCAAGTACGATAGGGGAGTAGAGAAGATGCGATGGAGGTTGGGAGATAGATTCAGCTCGTTCTCTAGCCGTAGGATAGGAGAAATACGCGCTCGTAAAAGAGGAGGAAGCGCAGTCTCCGAAGAAAATACGAATTAAACCAGCCGGCCGCTGATCCGAGAAACTTTCGCGTAATCGTGTTTGAACTTTAAAAGTCCAAACTCTAAACTAGCTGCAATCTCTCTCTCTCTCTCTCTCTCTCTCTCTCCTTCTTTTTCATTCTTAAAAAAAGAATAATACCTATGAGTTTGTTACGTGTTCGAAACAACGAGTGCTTACTTAGATATTTTTTAATATAACGAAACGTCTGTTTATAAAAAAAAAGAGAGAGAGAGAGAGAGAGAGAGAGAAATTAGCAAACAGAAAAAATACATAATATATAATAACGATAAATAATTAATAATAATAGTAACAATAATAATAATAATAATAATAATAATAATAATAATGATAAGTATATATAAAAAAAATTTATATGAAATTTGCATACATTCTTCGAGAATGCAATTGGCTCGTACAGAGTCTAAACAACAACATTCCAGAAGCAGAAGGAAAAGAATGATCAGAGGGTTTATACGAACGGCGTTATGTATGGGAGTGGCCAAAGAAAGAGATAAAGAGAGAGAGAGAGAGAGAGAGAGAGAAAGAGAAGAAGAGAAAAGGAGGCAGAAGAGAAGATAGACAGACAGACAGACGGACAAAAAGAGATAGAGATAGAAAGAAAATGTAAAAAAGAGAAAGAGAGAGAGGAGGGAAGGTTACGAGAAGACCGAGAGATGGTTTTAGAAGTAGTCAACCCCGAAAACATTAACTGTAGATAACGTTGGTTTACCCCTCGAGAATGATACAATACAATAGCTTTGTATAGTATGCTTTGAAACCCTTTCGTTCTCTTGGAATCGAGTCTACACTTAGCTCTCCCTCTAGCCACACGCCCTCCCCCTCCCTTCGTCGTCCGACCGATATATACTTTGGCGTACCTACTATCTACAATAACAACTTTCGGAACTCGAAGGAACGCCCGTAAAGGGCAAACCCTCTCTGTATTTAATTTACTGAATAATTGGAATCAAGCTGGCTCATTTGTGTGCCGGTCTCAGTCCGCACTCTCTCGTATGGCGGTGTACACACCCAGCAATTTCCAACCCTCCCCGACACATAGGTACCATCCTGCCATCGTGGATCCTGTGGGAGCCTGAGATGAGGAGATTTGTGCGCGCACATAAAACCAACCTCCTCCCACCCCCTACCACCTCTTTTCCCCTCTATCCCTGCTAGAGCCCCTCTCCTTTTCTCTTCCAACTCCCTCCCCCCTACCCCACCCCCCTCGCCTACCCTTATACTACCATTCCTCCTACTTCCTCTTTCTCTCTCCTCGTTCTTCTCTCATTCTATTCCTCCCAACCAAACTCCTACACTCTTCTAACTCGCCGATATAAGTATACAAGGGGGTGAATAAAGATGGCTAGATAATGGAATGCTCGCCAAGCCAGCGACCATTGGGATTACCTGCGATGAGAGAGGGCTCGCTACATCGTTGGATTAAATAAAAGTGTGAAAGGAGGAAGCTTACGAGATTTTTGTATCGAAACAAAATTTTGATATATTAGTTTGGTAAAATATACGAGCAATTAAATAGATATTTATATTATAATATTTCACGTTTTTCTTTTGAATATCAATTCTTAGAATTAAATCAATTTTTGAATATCAATTCTTAGAATTGTTTATCGTTACGTCATTTAATAATATATTGAATTAAAATACAATTAGAAAATATAATCCGAATAGTGGAATATAACTTGATCATTTGTATCTCTGTCCATCTTTTATATTATGTCTCTCTCTCTGTCTCTCTCTCTCTCTCTCTCTTACTTTCTTACTTAATTTATTATAAATATTTGAGTGAAATATATTCTGGATTAATAAATTGAGTATGATAGTCTTTCGAAAAAGAGATTAAAATTAGAATTAATAAATTGTGTATGATAGTCCTTGGAAAAAAAAAATTAATAATTTGATTTTTTTTGGGGGTAAAAGAATAAGGTGTCCTCTTTCTTGTCTCGTTCGAATTTTTGAGTCTACTGGTGGGAGAATAAAGGAGATAAGGTTCCTATGGTGGGGGATATATCGAGAAAGAGCGAGACAAAGAGAGAATGGGGTAAGAGAAAGAAGAACCTGTCTTCGTTCGCGCATGCGTATATGAGGAAAGTACAAATCGATGGCCGCGACTGCCTGGTTGGCTCTTGCAATAGCGTATCTATAGCTAACTTGCGGTTTCTATAGAAAGAAAGAGAGAGAGAGAGAGAGAGAGAGAGAGAGAAAGAGAGGGAGAGAAAGAAAGAGTGTGAGTGTGTGTATGTGCGTGAGTATAATAATTTTATACTGTATTTAAAAATCCCAAAAAATAAAGAAAATTTGGAAATTACATTTGAAAATTATTTAAGATTTTACAATTGTCGAAATAACTTCATCGAATTATAATAATTTTGATATTTATATGTATACCTAAGTTTACGCATATAATATATTAAATTCATTTTCAATATATTTTAAATTATTTATTTTCCCCTAATCAATCTGAAGATACTTTTTAATAAGTTAAAGCAATTTAGAAATTTAAAAGATAAGTATATGCATAAAATATAAATTTAATATATTTTAAAATACTCACGTCATTTTGTATTTATAAATAAATTAATCTGAAATTCCTTCGGTATCGTCAATATCGTTATTTTCTAATATTGAATATATAACAAAAGTATAATCAATACGACAATAGCAAAGCGATTAGTGATAAATATGAATACGACGTTATTTTTAGTTAAGTTATTTATTTTTAAAAAATTGTAAAAATCATTCAGCAATAAAAATTTAATTAAATATGACTATCGTCGACATAAACGATTTACTACAACAGCGCACATAGTGGCAAATTCTACAAGTACGTCCCCTATCTACTGAACGAAATGATATTCCCATACAGTCGATTATGGTGACACCATAATTCCTTCTTTACCATCATAGGACAAGTTGTTAACCATGGTGTTTGAAAATACTAGAAACTTTTTTGAAATATTCTATGAATTAAAAGTGAAAACGATATTTTTAAAAATTCGTCAAAAATCTAATTCTTTAATAATAATTTGGAATATATTTTATTATTTTAATTGTTTAACCGATAAACAAAATCCAAGCCACACCGATAACGAGAATCGAATTTACAAAAAACATATTCATAAACCAACGCCATCGTTTATAGGTATTTTCTTTCATGAAAATATATAAACTTAATCTTAGCCGCAATAATTTTTTATCGTCAATAGATACGTGCAAATATCAGTGAAACAAAAATAGAATTTCACATAAAAATTACTGATTATCAGAAATTACACGTACAAATATATATTGTTATTATTAAGACTTTTCTTTGTTGACGAACATTATTTACTAAATAAAAATTTTTAATAACGACGAAACAACAACAAAATTTGACCGACCGAGTAAACTCCACTAACGCTATCTAGTGCATAGAATCAGTACTTCTTTATCATTATGTAACTATTCAATTTTTATCTCATCGATCAATAATTTTTAATTGTTTCAAATCACCATATTAACAATAAATAAATGTTAATCATATATGATATAACAAATCAAGTATTTTAAAGTTATGCATTTATAAAATATTCATTATAGTTATTATTATAGCACATTATTTTAATAAGATGCAAAGTGTCAAGATATTAATAAAGATGGTAACAAAATAAGAAATATTTTTGTCACAGTTAAAAGAATAGACCCATTCGATAATTTCGCCCTATATGAGAATACGGTCTTCTAGTAGAAGTAGTGGTCGAGTATGCGCGCGCAGAGATGTTCCATGATGGCCGCCGTAAGTTACGCTATAATGGTGGGGCTAACAGTAGGTGGTGAAAGAAACCATGGACGGCAGAGTGGGGAAGAGAATATCCCAGTAGTGAAATAATGGGTCGCAGGAAGGGACGGTACTCAAAACTGTCACCGTACGCCATTGGCAGAAATCCTATGGGGCGAGGCATCGCCACATGGATCGTAAAAGGCGGCCATCATGGATTTCAACATGGCTTCTACTAGTACCGTATGTTCGGTTTACCCTTCGATTTCTATGCTATCAAAAAATGGAATATATAATATCTGTATTACGTGAAATCGTTTTTAATATTAAGAACAGTTTTTGTTTGTTTGTTTTTTTTTCCTTTAATTTTAACTTAAAAGATATATTACAAAAAATGTCACTGTAAAGAATATATATTATGTATATTTAATATCAATTAAATATTACAGCAAAATGGAAGTATAGTGAAAATTTTATTAATATTCTCGTTTCAGTTAACCTTGAAATATTCAAGTTCTTACATTAGAAACGTAAAGCAAAGGTCATCGTTCACCTGTTCATAAGGTCAATAGGTAATGTGATAACGACCATTCATAATGGTTACGGACGAAGGAATTACCGTGCAAACCGACACTTAAGCTTTATCGTGTCTCTTACCGCGAAGTTATGTATACTGTTCTCTTAAAAGTGAACGGTAGTGAGTTGTAACAAGATTATTGACTTTAAATCCTGCCGAATGACCCTATGGAAGATTGAAGCTACAAATATATTGCCAATAGCAAAGATCTAAGTATGTACATAGGGAAAGATGTATGCGACGGGTCCTGATCAAGTTATTCTTTGTGAACAATTATATTTCATTTTTAATATTTGACAAAACGTGTAAGAGAAATAAAACTTATCGTCGCGTTAAAATTTGTCATTTTCAAATTAAATGTCGCATCAATATCTATTAACACATACTTTTGAAGATTTAGAGTTTGAAATAATGTTGAATATAAGCGCATACTTACATTTTATATAGACTACTTAATATACATATATATATATATACATTATAGAAACAAGTAAACTCTATATATAAACGATGCTTTCATTCAATAAAATTATATATATATATAGGTGTAAATGTTTCTCACTGACGATCACTGTGTTACATGAATAAAAATTCATACAGGGGAGAAAAGAAATGAAGAAAAAAAAAAAAGAAAAAAAGAGGAAGAAAAAATATATGGAAGAAAAAAAAAAATAAACAGACCGTCCTTCCTCGAAAACAGAATGATATCGGAAGTTTTAAAAAGCCGGGGAAAGCAACTTGATCAGCGAGTTCTCTATCGGTCGGACTCGCGTATAGCGATTAAAGATAATTTCCGTCACGAACCGCACATCATTTACCGCTCTGCGGATGGTAATAAAGATTTTATGCATTCCCGTTTACTTCATCATTCGTTCAACCAAATCTATTGGGTCGTTGATAATACGTTCATGAGTACGAGTAGTATATATATATATATATATATATATATATATATATATATATATATATATATATATATATTACCAAGCATGAACTCGCCTCAGGCGGAAAGCAAAAGAAATAAGAAGGGATAGAGGAAGAAAGAAATATAAAAAAAAAAGAAAAAAAAAGGGAGAAGGAAAAAAAAATTGTTTCAGAGATAAATGAGACCCTTGCGAGATGACGTCAACCGGTAATAAAAGCGCGCCACTAATAAGCATCGCCAGCGCTAATTTCGCTCGGCGCTCTTCGAACTTCGTGTTCTTCGATTCAAACAGAGATCTCTGCGATTTATTCTTTACGACATCGAAAACGAAAGTGGTATAATGATGGAGATAACCATATTCATGAACCCAAGGAAAAATTATTATTTCCTCTTTTTTTCGATTTCTATTAAGTTACAAGTATCTACTTTGTTATGTGTAAAAAAAAATTTTCGAAAGATATCGTGTTTCCTTTTTTCATTATTTGTAGGTACGTATGCATATATAAATTAATAAACATATATATATATATATATATATATATATATATACGTTTATTAATTTGCAAAAGAATTCGAATATTATAAAACGTAATAATCTAGGTGTTTGATCGTCTTGAAATAATTTTTTATTTTTTTATTTTTCTATTATTGTTTATATATATATATTTTGTATTTTATTCGTGAATTACTATTTGTCATTCAAATAAATAGTGGCAAAATTTGTTAATTTCAATTTTCCTTTCACTAAGATCGTACTTAACTAATAGAAATGTGCTTGAAATATTCAAAGAAAATCGTTTTATTATAGAACTTGAGATTCCACGATCAGGAGATTTATTTCATTGAAGTTTACGCGTTAACTATTACCGTCGCACGCTTCTTGTGATTCATGACTTCAATTATTTTTATGTTTATAATAATCAACGATATGAATATATTTGTGTATACATATGTGTATACGTACAGAGAAATTAAGTTGGGATAACTGCTACATAAAAG